CTTACTTTGGACTGTACCCTCCTCATCCTCTGGGGGAGGTAGAGAGGGGGGGGGGCGCATGGCCTCCATTTTTCAGGGGGGGTTCGGGTACTGGTTGGGGGTCGGTTCTATGTGCACTGCATCCTCGACTTGTCCCCTCACTATAGCTACCGTGGATCAGTACAGCTATCCTTACTCAACGCGTCTATGTGTCCGGCAATCTCCAATACCAATCAACCTGTGAGCTTTCCGTGTACAGCTTTCGTCACTCAATGCGTCTATGTGTTCGGCAGTCGCAGACGTCACTCAACCCGTTAGGTCTCAATATGCAGCCATCCTCACTCAAAGCGTCTATGTGTTTGGCACTATCCAACATCACTCAACTCGGGGGGGAGGGAGGGGTGTGGCATATTGAAAAATAGGGCTAGCAGCTAAAAAAAAAAAAAAAATGTCTCTGCTCTTGTGCTTCGCTTGTTGGTTCGAGCTTCGATTGAGAAATCTCAAAAGCGTTCAAGCGTGTGATGGGTAACCAGGCTAGCACGGGAGGCACTGGTCGCACACTAGGCCTTCGCGCACAAAAGTGTAGAGAGGCGTACAGCAGTACATATCGCACCAATGGTGGTGCGTAGCAGCGAGTGTCTGTGTGTTGCTGGTGTCATGTATGTGCCCCTCTCCGCGGAAAGAGCGAGAGAGAGGCCGCCGCTGCTGCTGCTGCTGCTGCTGCTGCTGCTGCTGCTGCTGCTGCTGCTGCTGCAACCGAATGTTGATCTCTCCTCTCGCTTCCTCCGCCAATAGCTAACAGCAGCAGTGTATGGCACAACCTTCTCCCGCCGTCTCGCCCTCGCTGTGGTCTGTGCCTCCCTCTCCCTGTTTGTCCATGTCTGGCTCTGTGTGTGTGTGGTGTGTGGTGTGCGAGGCTATACGTCTTGGTGCAAAATCAAACGACGCCTCCTCTCTCTCGGTGTTGCAAGGGGCCAGAAACTTCCCTGCTTCAAGTTGGGTACCNGAATGTTGATCTCTCCTCTCGCTTCCTCCGCCAATAGCTAACAGCAGCAGTGTATGGCACAACCTTCTCCCGCCGTCTCGCCCTCGCTGTGGTCTGTGCCTCCCTCTCCCTGTTTGTCCATGTCTGGCTCTGTGTGTGTGTGGTGTGTGGTGTGCGAGGCTATACGTCTTGGTGCAAAATCAAACGACGCCTCCTCTCTCTCGGTGTTGCAAGGGGCCAGAAACTTCCCTGCTTCAAGTTGGGTACCGACGCCGCACTATCTCGACGCACCGAGCACGGATTGAAAAGGTAGAAGTTGGGGCAGCTCGGGCAAAATATTACTTGTTGTGAACACGTCTTAGATTGCAATGTGGTGGCCAGATGGTGAAATGGGCTGGAAATCTGCCGGGTAATGTCGAGGCTGGTCACAGACAGACTTACTTGAGTTTTGCCCCCCCCCTCTAAACAACTATTTTTTGAAAAACATTAAGCGTCCCTATCGGGCCACTTCTCTTCAAAGAAAAACTATTACAAAACAACACGCACAACACACCTTAGGATCTCGCTGTCCGTGTGCTGCAGTAGCTTCGAGAGGGCGGGGATGACGGTGTGCACGTCGAGGACAGGGCGGGGTTGGCCGTCGCAGAGGTTGCTCAGGGTCCAGGACCCGATCTTCAGCAACGATCTCGACCCCTGTCGGAAAAGAAAGTGTAAAACCCGCAAATCGTGTGACACGGCAGCCGAGATCAAACCGGTGAAAGGTACTGCTGTAGAGTAAAAACCGCACACGATGACGTCCATATTTGTTGATGTCTTCACGTCAAAAAATATAAAAATATGGAATCGATTAGCATAGACGCCAAATCAACAGCGTGCGTCGTGCACCGGCTGGCACCCACACGGGCGCTCGCAAAAGAGGCATACACAAGAACAGAAACAGCGAGCCACAACAAACAAGACCGTGCGGACGGTTTCTTTCCAACAGCAATGACACTCGGGTGGCAGCGGACGCAATCGAAACACACCGCGCATTCCTCTCACACACGTGCGCGGAGGTACCACGGCACTCACACCCTACCGTCTGATTCTTCGAGACAGCAGCAGCACCAGTAGTAGGAGCAGCAGCATCATGTCGACAAGCAATATCCTTCACCACTGTGTTGTAGACTGGTCGTGGCGATTGTGACAAAAGACGATTGATTTGAAACCTCGATTTCGTCACAAGCAACCGCCAACAACAACACAGCGGAACTCGTCTTGCATTCAAAGGTTTGAAAAACAATCCATCATCAACCGAGGCCTCAACAGCTGCCGGTCGACCCGCCTCTAGATACTCCATAGCAACAGCCGACAGCTGCAGCAGCAGTAATCACCGGGTGTCTTTCTAGGCATCGCACTGTTCAGAGGAGTTACCATAGGATAAGCTAACAATACCCCTGCGTAGCGGGAACTCGTACCGTACGTCGGGCCAAAATTCTTGAACATCAACCACCGACAAGATCTGCACAACGACCCCAGTAGCAGCAGCAATCACCTGGCATCTCTCCAGGCATCACACTACAAGGGGAGACCACAAAATGAGCCAACAACACCAAAAGAACCATCCAAGCCTTCTGAAACACACAAACGATCATCATCATCGAGAGGCCCCGGCAAAGTTCAGCCGATCCGCGTAGCAGCCACAGCAGCAGCAGCAGCAGCAGCAAATCACCTGGTGTCTCTCAAGGCATCGCACAAGGGGGGGCAGCGCGTCCACCGCCAGGACGGCGTCTCTCGCCGCCGCCCCTTCCCCGGCCAGGTTCCCCAGCAGCCATAGCGCCTGCTCGAGGACCTCCTCGTTGGGGCTGTCGAGCAGAACCACCAGGGGGGGTACCGCGCCGCTGTTGGTGAGGACTTGGGCGTGGTCCGGGGCCCCGGCCGCGATGTTGGTGAGGGCCCACAGCGCTTCAACCTACACGCGCGCGCAAGGCGTACGGAGGAGAGAGTGAAGGGGGGGCATAAAGGAAAAGGCGGGTGATGGTCAGGGCCCAGTCCGCTTCCACCTACACACGCGCGCAGAGCGTACGGAACAGAGAGCGGAGGAGGGATTAAAAGGAACGGGCAGATGTTGGTAAGGGCCCAGAGCGGTTCCACCTTGACAGACACACGCGCACGCACGCAAAACGCACGTACACGAGAAAGAGAGGGCTAGGGTCCAGAGCACTTCCACCGGTACACGCACGGACGCACGCAAAGGCCGTACTGAGACCGTTTTTTTTTTTTTTTCCATTGGCCAGGCGGTTAGCGCGGTCGATGCTTTGAACAAAAAAACACACGCTCCACCCAAAACACACAAGCGAAGGAGACGGACGGTACCATCAACAACAACAACAACAACAACCCACCTGCACCGCCGGGCGCGTGTCAGCTCCGAGCCACCCCATGAGCAGCGGCACCCAATCTCGCTCCAGAGCCTCTCGAATAAGGTCCTCCCTGACGTGGGGCGAGAAAAGAAGAAACGGCATCAAGCATACCTACGTGAGTTCCAGAGAACTCACGCACAGCCTACTTGTCATCACACAGACGGCAACTCTTGGCAGGATCTACGGCGAGTTTTCGACCGCCATAGCTACGAACGGTACATTCTTGTGGTAGCACAAGGTTCAGGTCCATGACATTCCAGTAGGATTTCGCGAGGATGTCAAGCTCGGCCATTTTTAGTAGGGGGTACGGGTTGGATTGGAGGGTAGGGTAGAAAGCCCCCTCTCTATTTCATCGAAAAACTCCTCGAGAAAGCGGTCATGGCATTCTGAATGGTCGAGAGCAGTGAGAAAGACCTCACCACAAGCGGGAAGGCAACGACAATGGCAAGGGCACCACCAACACCGACAGCACCCCCCCACCCCCAAAGCTACCCAGGAAGTGAGCTGAGAAGACCGGGAAGAAATATCGATAGGATACACGTAGGGTGAAGGGAAAACACTCTGGAGCCACCTTGGGCAAAATGTAGGAAGGAACGATTTGGCCAACGGCGAGATCGGTCCTGTGCGGGAATACCCTCCGTCCTCTCGAGGACGCGCCGCCAAGGGTCAACCCGCCACAAGGGACGCAACAGCATTAGTACGCCCCACCAATCAAGCTCCTCAATCCGAGACACCGCGACGAAAAACTACTCTCGAGTTCTTGGCCCCTCACCTGTTGGAGGACAGCAGGGATCTCAACCGCCTAGCGGAGGCGAGCTGCCGTCCGGACGCATCCCCCTCGTCGGTCCTGCCGTGCACCCCGGAGTCCCGAGAGCGAAACGCCGACTCCAGCTCCATCGCCTCGGCTCTGCATGCATGCATGCATGCGTACATACATGCATACATCCGTGTAGGGACAGGGGAGAGGACAGAAGACGTGGTTGCGTATGTGACAAGGGAGGCCCAACAAGAAGAGCTACAAAGGCAAAATACACGCTTTGGGGTTGCCAAGAGAGGCTCCGGATAATCATGTGATACGCGCCAGAAATTGTCTCAGGGTGTCGAGAAAACACACAGAATCGACGCGGGCGCGCACGATGCTGTTGCTGTGCAACAAGCGACAAGAGCTCACGACCAGCTGTAGCTGTGAACGCAGCCTCTCAAATCGACGGTGTTCAGCTCCCACCCGACCACGACATGCTCGAGGAAGAGTCGTGGTACGTCCAACTGCAGCCCGCTTGAGCAACCAACTGCGGCTGCGTGGTACGTCCAACAACAACAACGATGGCCGCTTGAGCACGCCTTCTCGGAACGCTTCCCTATTAACGACCGGGCAGGAGTCTCTCGCCCAGCCAGTCCCAGCACAATGATTGTACTTCTACTTAGCGGTGGAACCGCCAGGGAAAACGAGACTCACTTGAACCTGTCCTTGTCGAGCGCCGCCTGCGGGGGCGACAGCGGCAGAGTCTGCTGTTGCTGCTGCTGCTGCTGCAGCTGCACCTCCTCGTGCGAAAGTCCGGCATACCCGCCGCCTCCCCCCTTCGCCAGCATCCCGCCGGTGTACGCCGCCACCGCCGCCGCCGCTGCCGCCGCCGAAGAATGCTTGTCCACTTCCAACGGCCCGGCCGCCGAGAAGTAGACTTCACCTCCAGCCCCGCCACCGCCGCCGCCGCCGCCGCCGCCGCTGGGCAGTGCTGGCGTGGCGCGACCAACGTCCGCTACGGCTGCTGCTGCGGCCGCCGCTACTGCTGGCGCCGGGATGTAGTCGCACCCGTCGCTGCTGCCCCCCCCGCTGTCGAGCATCACCTCTTCTCCGGAAAATATCATCACCGTCGCTGCGGTGGCTGCCGCGGAGTACCCTGGCACCTGCTGCTGCTGCTGCTGCTGCTGTAGCTGCTGCTGCTGCTGGCCGACACTATTTCGAGAGAGAGAAAACGAGCTCTCGCCCTCTCCTCCTCCCCCGCTCCCGGCCGTGGATGTCGCCGCCGGTGCCGCCGCGACTTGGGGCGAGAACCCCGCCGAACCTACCTGCTGCGGGTGTCGTTGTGTATCGCTTGCTCTCCCGCTATCGGCCCCCATCACCACCGTACCCACTACGCCACCGTTCTCTCTCCTCCCTCAGTAACGCGGACGCCGGCCACACGACGCCGGTGGCTGGCTGGTGCGCGCAGGGGCTAACGCTGGCGCCTCTAGTAGTCCTTCCTGCGAGCGCGAGGGGAATCGACCTGGCAGCGCCGCCTGCTTGTAGTAGGCCGCAGCCAACCGCCACGTTCGTCCTGGCAAGAATAACCCCGGCTCAACCCCGCTCCGGCTGTTGTTGAAAAAAAACGTTCTTTTCCCAAAGCAGCTGATTCTTAGCCGTGTGCGCCGCAATTTAGCGCAGATAACAAGTTTTCCCTTACGGGCGACGACCGCTGCCTCTTGCTCTCTCGCTTGTGCTTCCCTAGATCCCTCCTCGGAGCATTCCCACCGTACACTCGGCGGCGGCGGCGGCAGCAGCAACAGCAGCAGGTCGGGGCAGAGGTCTTCCCCCCCTTGCCTTTGTCCTCCCGGATCAGTGCGCGTTTCCCGGGAAAAAGAAAAAATCCAGAGAATCAACGGAATGTTCGCGGCAGCGGATGCCACCCCCTCGCCTCCCTTCCTTCTCGTGTGGAAGCTCGTCGGTGCGGTGTGTATAGGATGTTGGCCCCGAAGCGGCAGCCAGCAGCGCTGGGGCGATCACAGGAAGGACCAACAGCAGCCCTCTTTTGCCTCGTCCCGTGCGCTGTGGGGTGTCTCGCTCTCAACACCCCTTCCCCGTCACCGCCGCCTGCCTCTCTTTTCTTCGTACCCTCTGCAATGTAGTCGGTCAGCAGGCAGGCACACGAGACAGTGATCCACGGCACGCGGGGGGCGGCGGAGACAAGGATATTGGCGAGGGCGAGCACACACCAACGGGCTGCTGAGCACATTGGGGTGAGGAGGGCCCGGGCGAACACACACAAAACAGCACAAAACAGCACGCTAGCAGCAGTTTACATGAACATACATAGACAAGCGGCGAGGCGGCAGGAAAGATCGAAGCAAGCACAAGTTTCGTGGGGGCGCAGTTCAAACTTGGCTGCAAACAGGGGAGATGAGGTCAGTCATTACCGCTCCCAGTGTCTTCGGGAACGACGGCACGCAGCAGGCAACTACTTTCCAGCAGGGACAAGCGGGCGGGGCCCAAAATTGGATTCCTGTGGAATCTCGTCACCCGCAGTATGATCTGCAAACCCTTGTGCTGGCATGGGGCACGGTGTGTGCATCCTCTCACATCACTCACTGACCGCCTGCTGGGTTGGATGGGGACTGCAATCTTGAGGTTCGCGTGCTGCGCGGCCGCGTCGGGTAAAGAATCAGCCGCACCAGCAGCAGCGACACCCCGAGTTAGTTCATGGGGGCTTGGTTGCGTATGCGACCCATGCTCCCAGAGACCAACGCATGATCACCTTAGCCCCTATGCCTCGTCGCTCTTGGGTTGCTGCTACTGCTGGACCTCGATTGTTGCGTCCTCGATGACTAGCTACTGAAACGCATAGGAATTGGCGACCAGAAGCGAACGAGCGAGGGAGTGCATTCTGCTATATGGGCTCGGACTCACGATTTCAGATCACAAGCAACGCCCCTACAAATCCCTGCATATATCAGATCGATGGTTAACGCACCTGCCGTGTGCTGCGCTCCGTGCTCTCCGATCACTCGCCCTGCTGCTGATTCTTTTCGCTCCTCCTCTTCTCCTACTCCTACTCCTACCCTTCCCGACAGAGGGGGCCGCCCACTCGGACTTCCACCCCGACAACGACCCCCCTGCTTCGAGGGCGGCGGGATTGGGATCTTTTGATTGGACCTCTCTTCGCTCGCTCTTCGCTCGCCCTCCCTCCCTCTCGTTTCGTAGCAGCAGCAACCAGGATGAAGAGCGAAAGTAGCTCTAGCAAGCGTGCCCGGAGCACGAAGCAGGAAAGAAACTCGAGACGCGCAGCAGCAGCAGCAGCAGCAGCAGCAGCAGCAGCTTCTGCAAGGAACGAAGCAAATAATTTGGATCCTGCTGCTGGGTGCAATAGCAATGCATGGGGGGATGGCGAGAAGCCGCCGTTCCGGCCAGCACACCCTCCCGTAATCGTTAGAGCGGACGCTGCTAAAGACCAGGCAGAACGATCATCCTCTCCAGGTGCGGTACTTCATTCACGTTCACACAACAAGGCACGCGCTCTCCGGGTGAACAGATATGTCAGGATAAAATATGTGAATCCAATAAATCTGCATACGCGTAGTCTATAGACTAGAGATACCGTCATCGTGCTGTGCACATGATCGACATACACGTGCGCGGGGAAGAGAGAGAACAAAGTTGCAACAGGACAAACGCGTAGCACGTGGCAGACGAAGCACGTGCCACGGAAACGTGCACACAACTCCTGCCCGCAGCGCGCTGTTCACCTCAGAATAAGGAGATACATTCAAGTCTCTGGTCATCTATGGATATGTTGTAGGCTATCCTGCAGGGAACAGACCTGCTGAAGAAAATATATGCATACGATTATCGCATACCCCCCAACGGCGACCCTCGCAATTGTTTTGCGGTCTGGTGGTTGGACACACACTCTTTTGAGGCACGAGTCACTGCTCTTCCGTTTGTCTCTTGCAGCTCCGAATACCTCCGTCTTTTTTTGTTCTCCCGGCCATTGCGGCCATGATGAGGAGAGAAGAAACGAAAACGCACGACACGTTCAAAAAACGTGTGGAGAGTCTACGGTAGACCGCTGCAAGTACACGGAATCGGATTGATTTCGATGATCCAATACTGGTGCTGCACCCTTGAGATCGCTGTCTGTGAGCAGGTGGTCACCCATCACGGGAGATGACGAGGTCTTTAACGTCCAGAGAGAAATTCTAACGCAGCACAGGTACAATAGTCCACGCGTGTGCCGAGCTCCCAACGTCGCCTCTAATCAATCGAGGTTGTCCTGTACTGCTGTATAGCCTACACAGCCCTCCCCGACGACAGCAGTAATGAGCTTACCCTGCTGTTCTTGTTTTGGGGGTTGTTGTGAAAACTGTACCACGCCCAAATCGATGATAAAGCTTATACTGTATGCTCTCCGATATCCCACCTGTGCCCGATTGCAAGTTGATCTTTCGTCAACAGGTGTGTGTATTCGTTCAAGTATAAAATAAAATTCGATCCGTAAATTTACGCGCGGCCCTCCACGCTACAAAACCCACACGCACGTACGTGCCCTAGCGCTCGACCTTGCCTTCATGAGTCGTCGGTCCGGACGATGGAGAGGCTGCTCGCTGCTCCGAGAAACAAATGCATATGAACGCGTGAAGGAGGTCTTTCAAGCTACTTGCGTACAGCAGTAGACGGACCGCAACCGACTGAGATGTTTCGGGACGATCGATGGAGAATGCGAATACATCCCGGGCAAGTCGAGGATACCATGAATCATTCACCACGACGAGATGTTGGGGGCGATGTACTTTCTCAGTCGCCCCACCCTTGGCGAGTTCTCACTAGCCTGAAGTCTGTTGTCGTCTTCGCGCACACAGTACCTGGTACGGTACTACTGCTGTAGACGATGTACGCCTTCGTACTGCCCCGCGATGGTTGTGTGCTTTATCTACCAGTTGGGCGGGGGTACCGTAAGGAAACATTTCAGCAACGAAAAAGTGATGGCACGCTCGTTGGAGGCAGCCGAATCTGGTTCGACTAGGCTGTCCAGCGGTAGCTGTTGTACAGACATAAAACAGTAACGCGGACCACTGGATGGTTATAGTCTATTCATAAACAACCAGTTAATTTTTATGACGGCAACAACATCAACAACAACGGTTGCATCCAAATCTGAAACCGCGAATGCTTACACGTCGCCGACCACTGCTGTCGTATGCGTACGTTAATATTCCATCGCAGTACACATTCGTTATCCCTGCTGGGCTATTTACGTATAATACACCTACTTAAACAGGTCGAAGTTCGAGTCTCCCGCTGGAGGGGTTTGGTTTATGGTCATTTGCGGTGGACAGCTACTTTTGTAACCAGAGACACTTCAAATTCACTGTAGACGAGGGATGTGAGTCAAGCACAACGAAAGGATGGGTGGTGGGATACATACCTACCCGAATAGTCTAAGCATTAAAGTAGAATGGAAACCTGTGTGGTACGGGCTGATGATACGTCAAACTGTGCACCGAAGGTGTGAAGACTGTTGTCATAGTGGACCGGCCGGCTATACACACAATACAAGCTCATCCTCTTGCCCATTGAAACGCACGATGACGTTCTCGCAAAACGTCCAGCGGCGCTAGAAATTTCCCGTGGTCCAACGCTCTCCACTAGGCACGAATCAGCTCCTGAAAGAATTCGGCAGGCAAGTTCCGCAACCATCAGAAATGAAAGACAAAGTGCGCATAGAACCGAATCTTGGCACGGCAGCATGGCAGCGCCATATGTGGCGAAACGCAATGGCGAAATCAGTCTTTGGACAAAACCAAGAAAGTATATGGCTAAAACTTCTGGCGGTTCGAAACAATGATACTCTGCCGGTTTATATTTGAAGATATATTTCATTTACATCCGTTGCTCTTGTACTTTCCACCAATGCGTGCATGAACTAAAGGCATGAGGCATGAGGTCAACCGCCCCTCAAACGCTGGGAAACACGTGGGGTGTCCGGCCGACATCTTCCAATCCGCGGCTCTCCCTTTTATCCGACGAACCTCCCGCCATGATGATGGCGTATGGCGACGGTGGTAGTACAAATACCACGTCTTCGGACGGCTCAAAGCACCTCGTCATTGACGTTGCCGAGAAGCGTACATAGCACTGGCCTCGGCCGGAGCCCGAGTACGCAAAAGCAAGCACCATAAACAAGCCACCACCACCACCACTACCGTCGACGTTTTACCTGGTGAATACCATACAATAGGTGGTGGTGATGATCCCCTCGCGCGTGAGAATGACGACAGCGATGACGGTGTCGACGGAGAAGGCCTCTTGGTGACCTGTCATCATCCAAGCCGGGTCAGTGATGCTAAGGCAGCATCCACGGCGCCAACCTCAGTGGAAGCAAGCAACAACGCGAGAGAGGGGAGAGGGATCAGGGAACCGAACCGAGAAAATGAGCATGAGGACGAAGAGAATAGGACGGCAGGAGTGAATCCGCTAGCTTTGTCGCTCTATTCCTGCCCTTGCAAATCTTCTTCCTGTCGTGCAGAGTTACAAGATCTGCCGGATGGCGTGATCGCGCGGGCGCTTTGTAGCGGGTTTCTAGATTCGCTTGAGGTGGCCTCATCTCTTCGGACTGTCAGCAGGCGCTTCCAGGCGATCGGAAGTAACGCTTGTCAGGTCTGTTCAGCATTCGCCGATGGTCCTTGTACTGATATGAAATGACAGAGATATCGTGTGTCCAGCTCGTATTTTTGAGGACCACGGTGGGATTACATAGGCGCTAATCATTCAGCTCGCATGTCGTGGCAGGTATGCTACTGAGCTTGAAACCGAGGCCAGCACAGGACAGCCGACATCGAAGGCTTACTCCACGGCGGAGAAAGACCACGTCACACAACGTTCCATACTCACTCGTGCACCACAAAATCATTTTGCAGTTCATTACTCTTGTCGGCCGCAGATCATGGACTTGCACCGCACTCCAATCCGCGACCACGACCTGGCCAGCGTTGCGGCCGCGTTCCCGCGTGTTGATTACGTCGACCTGAGTTTCTGCAGGGTAAGTCCTGATGCTCTCCAGTGTCGTGAAACCGCTTCGCTCGGCGAAGGAGGCGATTCCTTATCGGGGGGTTCGGTGTCGGTGCCTTGGTTGTGCAGAGACGAAACTTCATGCGATCTGCACACGTGTCGACATGTAGGTTTCATGCCCTCCGAGCTTTGTAGATGACTACTTGTCAGACAACTCTTTGAGTTGCGCTCCCTGCGTTGATCGTGCTTCATCACCCCCCAAACGAGAACGAAGATCAATCGAGTGCCTTCGATGTATGTCTGAAGCGAGGCTTTCTCTGGTGTTGCTTCTCTCTCAGGGCCTCGGAGGAGGGGCAAGTGGAAGCCTTCTCCCTTGCAAGCAGACGCTGCGGACACTGGTGAGACGGCATGGACGGTATCCATATCGCGCTAAATTTCGAGAAACTTTATCTTTCACGCGACTGGACTGCAGAGTGACAATGCGCAGACGCGGCGGCGTTGGTCACTCTCTCCAAGTTCTGGATTCATTTCCCTTGCTGGGACAATTTTTGAAATCCCTCCCCTTCCGCCCGACTCTCCCCGTCTGAGTTGCAAACACCAAAATCATTCTCGTGAACGCGTAGAGCCTACGAGGGGTTGGCGCCTCTGCTGCTCTTGTGGAAGGCCTGGCTGGGTTTCGCCAGCTAACCTCTCTTGACCTAGGCCAGAGTACTGCAGGCGACGCTAGGAAGGTTTCCACAGTGAGCCTTGTTAAGGTGAACAAACGCCAGGCCGTGATCATGGGCTGTTGGTTGTGTTTTTTTGCGCGGGGTTCTTCATGCCAGGTTCCCCCTTGTACTGCCAGAGCGGGGAAATAGGCACCTGTATTCCCCTCTGTTCTGGGGAATGGATAGGTTGCGAGATTAGGCGTTTTCGGAGAAGAGTGGAATCCACACGTGCAAGGTCATGTAGCCTCGTATCGAGGTGCGTTTGTGGGATACTCTCATTCAACCTGTGATACGGCCGTGTATGTGGGTCGCCTCGTCGGGGGTCCAAAGAGCTGTTCGATTTCTGCGTCCTTATCTACAGGGGCTGTCCACGCTCGACCGTCTGGAACAACTCAACCTCGCTTGGAATGTGGGCGTGACGGACGAGGTCGTGGCGTGGCTGTGCGTCAGAGTGAAGGGAATAAGAAATCTCGATCTCAGCCTCTGCGCCAAGATAACCTTTAGATCCATCCAGGTAGCCCTGGGGTGGATAGGTTGCGTCCATGGCAGAGGAATTCGGGCTGCAAGTCTTCTTGTTACTTTCGGTGATGGTGGTACTGGCTTTTGGTGACGATGGCCGCAGCATTGGTTCGTGGTAATTGTCGTAGTCAATCAAATCATACCGGAAAAGCTCCACGTTTAGGAAGGTCCTGGAACAAAGCATTGTATCACAAAGGAGAACAGACGTATACATTCGCCACCCGCGGAGCGAGAATTGAGTATGATCCCACCTCAGCGACATGTAGGTATGCCTTCACCAACCGTTGCGTTATTCGGTTGGCCGTTCAACGTCACAGCTGAAAAAAGGCGTCGGGCCTCGAGCCGAGAGTACTCACTCGCTTGTAGGAAAGCGTTACGCTTGTGGACCCTCGAGAAAATCTCGTTTGGCACACGACACCACCCAAAATTCGCTCACCACGGCTGACAAGGTGACGAACACTCCGCCCATCCACTAGACGGAACCATGTGCCGGAAAAGCAAAATATTTGTTCCGATACTCCTTCTTGCTCTAATGGACACCCGGTTGGCTTATCCGTCAGGCATTGGCGGCGCAGAAGAATCTTCGTATTTTGTCCCTGCGCGCGTGCGCCAATCTCGCGGACAACGCCGTGGAGAAGCTGGCAAGTGCCTGTCCCGGCCTGACGAGTCTCGATCTGGCCCATTTACCACGTCTCACGGTGAGTGAGTGAGGCGAGCACCTCCAAGGAAGCCGGAAGCCGCCCTGTGTCCCAACACTAACCGCCTTTTCTGAAAGGTACAAATTCGAAGTATGTAGTATGAATTCTACCTTACCGTTTTAACCGCAGCATTGTGACGAAAGAATTCAGAGACATCACCAGCTGTTGCAAGGTGGGTTTCATGTGCATCTATTGTGCATCAAGTGTTATTGTGCCAAACAACATGATCGGTGTGATAGGTGCTAAATAAGAAAATTTGCAAATCCTTCATGCACCGAACGTTGAAGTGTGCCACGCTGTGGCCGGATTTCGGGCGCAGCATGATCGACATATAGTCTATGCACAATTTTCGACGGTTCTTTCGTCACACTGTGTAGGTACATGTTCTGCAGGACAAACGTTGCATTACCTGAAGAAGCTATTGTTGAGAGAGCTATCAAGCTTTGCTATCCCAACGCCAACAGCGGATGTTGCCATACCCAATCTCATTGTGAAACACCCGATCCGCCTACTAGAGAAGAAGGAAGGAAATGTTTGTCCCTGTGCCATTCGCGTTTTCCAGGGGTTGGGTTTCACTATTCGCCCACGCCCCGCCCGCATTTGAAAAGCTCTTTCCCGTACCCGCTGCAACGCATCATGTGTTCTGCCCGCCGTCTGTTGCAGGGAAAGTCTCTACGCTCTCTGATCCTGTTGAAGGGTCTTGCCAAGCTCGATCTTCGGTTTTGCGACCAACTTACAACCGCGGATGTGGTGGCGTTCAGCATCGCACGGCCTAGGACACGAGTCGCAGACCTTAGGGCTTGGTGGCCTTGAGTTATTCAAAGGGCGAGCCTGAACCAGTTCCACTGTGTTTTTTCTCCACCATTTTTGTTCCCTCCAAAACTTTCGAGTATTGTGTGGCAAACGCTCGAACTCACTCGAGCAAGCACGCCTCCATCCAACCCGAGTCGGTGGCATGGGCTGTAGTTGTAAGTTTTGTTTCAGCAAGCGGTAACTATGGACGACCGGAGAGATAACGGCTTCTTGGTTTTACGGTAGATGAACCGAGCGTTGGGCTGACAGCGTGAAGTTTCACTATCCGCCCATCCCCTGCTTTGATGCCTCACAAGACATAGAGCGCGCACCAGGCGCTCCTCCTCCCAATGCAGCGTGCGTGTGTGTCTTGTACGCTTCGTTCTGTTCGTAAATGTCCTTTACTTGGAAGGTTGAAACGTTTTATCTCTTGTATTAGACACGCAAGGGGAGTAGGGAGAAGTGACGCCCGCATTGGAGTTCGAGGGGTCCCCGCACATGCAACCATTTCAAGGTGTACATATGCCCCATCTGCGTGCCCTCTGTTGTGCCGGTAGATCCAACCAGTCCGTATCCAAAAACACGAACACCCTCCCCGGTTTGCACGCGAATGGCAAACCTAACGTGGGGCATGGATACCCCTGATCTACCAAAGGGACTCAAAACAACAACAGGCTCGAGGGAAAACCCGGCCAACCGGATCGAAAGCCCTCGACTAACACCCTAAATATAGAAAACCGTCGATATCACGGAGGATTCCAAGGGTCGCACTTCCATGACAAGACCAAGGCAGGACAGATTGAACCGGTCGCGCTGATTACACACCCGAAGCAACGCTCTCGGCGTTTCTAGGCTCCAGCCGCGGGTGACGCGCCGGCACAACGTTTCCTGCGTGACGCACCATTGTCATATATGCCAAGTGCTAAAACCACTACATAAACGAAACAGAACAAGAGAACACTACATCGGTAGGTTCATCAGAGCCTTCCGGTGGTACTCTAACTTCTCTCTGCCAAGGACCTTGGTCAGCATGTCGGCGTGCTGCTCTCCAGTCGGAACATACTCTGCAGTGATCTTGCCCGACTTGAATAGCTCGCGAATGAAATGGAACCGCACGTCGATGTGCTTGCTCCTCGCTGAGCTGAACGGGTTCTCGATTAAGGCGAGAGCACCCTTGTTGTCCTCAAGGATCTTGATCTTCGCCCCACTCGTCTCGGGCGCTATGAACGACAGAACGCCACGCACATGCAACGCCTCCTTCACGCCCTCCTCGGCTGCCATACACTCTGCTTCCGAGGTCGACTGAGCCGTCACTGGCTGCGTCTTGGTGGATGCACACACTACGGTACCACCTACGGTCACAGCTAGCCCGGTCGTA